GATAAAAAATGAGGGTCATCCCACCATCTACCAAGAGACCTTATCTTATCTTTTAGTTTTATTTCTTGTAGACAAGTGATTTGAATCTTATTGTCGTGAATCCAATACTTGAGTCTATCTCATTTCTGCTTCCCGGAGCTATTTACCAAAATCTGTATATTTCACGTGGTGAACTTAATCTTTCCCATTAGTAGATTTGTTCCCTCTCATTTGGATGCGGACTGCCGTCCAAGCATTGTTGTTCGCAATTTGTTGAGTGACACCACCGGATCCCGACCAGGGGTTCGTGAGAACTTTTCAAATGAACTGGGATATAAGTTTTTCCCCCGAACCAGTTTGCCACCGAGTTCGAACAGAAATTCGCCAGATATGACCGGCTTCACCTTCATGTAACGAAGGTTCTGTCGCATCGCTTTAGTGAAGCAAGAAAAAAGGATCAAACGAAACTCTTCAGATTTTTGTGCCTCTAATTAACCTGTTACAAAGCGAACATCAATAAGGGGAGGGAAAAAACAAAACAAAACACTTTTCCCTGCCTTGTCGGATGATCCGTCAAGAATCTCGGTATTGACATTTTTTAGATCAAACAGAAAGTGAATTTGTCATTGATAGCAGATCGATAATATTAGTTAGGACAAATGACATAGGGAGATTCAGGGAGGATATCGTTATAAAGTTCAAAACAGCGTGTGATGTGGTCCATGCTAGGACCCACAACGAGTCCCTAGTTTAGGCGCAAAAGATGGGATAATTTTTACCTCCATGTTCTTCAGTTGCCATCGGCCTAGCGTTACTGGCGTGCGTTTCGTAGTTGTCTTGCTTCACAGCGTCCCGACTTCGCGAATGTATTCTTCGAAACGGCCAGAGTTGGTCACAAAGGATACAAAGTTTTCTTCTTTTTCCTTGAGGGCTACAAAGTTGGCCTCATCTTCAAAGCTCAAGCGACGATGCTTGCCACTTAGCCCATTGCGGAGGAGTAGGTTACCCAAATTTTCATTGTTTACAATTGTGCCTCGCAAAGAGACACCTAGCAAATGACCGTGGGGTAGATCGCCCCTGGTTGCCGCTAATGCTCGGATGTTCGGGGGGGGGAGGGGGGGGCTTTTATAACACCCATCCTTCCTGTTATCAAGTGCATGGGCTCCCGCGTTTTTCACAAAAACGAGAACCCTCATGGCCATGTCATGTAGGAATTAAACATAAAAGAAGCCAGAGACACCTTAGGGACCATGCAAAAATAATCCCGCGAACCGCACTGTCTCATCATCTCCTCGTCGCTCTAACCGGGTGCACAAGTTGTACTTCCTGCGGTCCCCCGCGCAGGATAGGTTCTCGCGGGGTACAACTTACCTACCCGAAGGGGTTATCACCACCCTTAGGGGTGTATCTTTACCGAGCTAGTGACCCACGTGCGAAAACTTTTACATGCAATTGCAGAGGTAGGTCAACCGATGACGCTTACTCGCTCGCTGCAGTATAGGTACGCTTGGTTAAACGCCAAGTAGACCCGGACGTTATCCGTCCCCTAGGGCAGTGATCTCCTATGTATGAAACGAACGTCGATCGACTAATACGGTCTCAACTAAATGTGAAACCCATAAAATGATTCTAGTCCCTTTACGATTCTTTGAAAAAAAATGAAAAATAAAATCAGCACTCCTTATATCAAATCGCGCAAGATCGTTTTTTGACTTGATGAAATGATTTGACAAAGTTATTATTCCCAACCTGTATGATTGAAGAAACTTTTATACCACTGATCCCAAGGCGGAGACCAACATAAAAATTCCCACGATAAATGAAACTTGAAAAAACATTCCATAAAAAAAAAATCCTTCATATTTATAAATTATCATTCCTATCTTCGTTAAATTCTAAAATTTTCAATTTTATTTTATAAGTTCCCGTCTAAATATGAGTTTTTCCTTCCAACTACATCTATTTGTTCAAAATGGAATGGAAATCTGGACGAGTTTATGAAATGTTTTAATTAAATTTTCATTCTACGACAACAAATATCTTCTAATTTAGATTGGATTAACCTATTTATGATTGAAGATCCTTACTTAGAATGACGGTCCAATTAAAATATTTCATGAACTCATCCAGACTTTCATTCCATCTCTAGCATGCAGTCCAAATAAGAAGAGATACCCTATTATTGGAATGAAAGTTTGCAAGTAAGATGGAAAATTTTAAAATTGGAATGACATTTTTAAAGATGGAATGAAAATTTAAAATTTAGATTGTAATTTTACTATAGTATGATTATTTAATTCTAGGATTTTTTTTCGTTGACCCACTTCTGGTTGAGGAAAATAACAACCTAACGTATGGGTAGATTCATTGACGCACCTGCTAAAACCTGCCATGAGTGACTTCTACAAATAAATTTAATTGCTACCATGCAAATCAACAAGCGATCAAGTTTTTGGTCGAAGTTTGAATTATCGGTTTGACGACACCTTTGCAACATATGCATCTTGCTTGGAGGAAAGTATTATATATCGAATAAAAAAATTGTTGGTCGCTTTGTCCTCCTGGATAATAATTACTCTTTTCATTCCTTGAATGATAAAGTATCCACCTTTATTATCAGGATACCAAAAACAAAACCACAGTCGTTATCACTGTGCAAAGAAAATCGCCTCCTTTATTACATACTTATTTCCGTGAGCTGAAGCTTCTTATATCTCCAACTTATTCTTCTACCGGTGACACCTAAGGTAGCCATCCGCAAGGATATTAAATTGGTCCCCACGCTGCCCAGGAGTCGACAAGGGTTGACCCACATTGCGTCGTCATGCACCAATCCCTCTAGGAAGTGGCCTGCGGATACTCATTCCCCTTGCCCGAGCCCGAAAAAGTGGATCTCAGCCCCTTAGGGAAGGTACGTTGTGCCCCGTGAGAATCTATCCTGTCGTAGGGGACCGCGTGAAGTACAGCTGACACACCCGGCTAGAGTGGTGAAGGGACGACGCGACCGTCCCGTCTAAGCAGTTAGTGGGATGATTTTTGCATGGTCGCTAAGTTGTCTCTGGATTTTCTTTTGTTTAACTCCTGCGTGACATGGCCAGAAGGGTTCTCGCCTTTGCGAAAAAGGCGGGAGCCGATGCCCTCGACACCGCCTCCCCCGTTTGAAATACTAGGAGTGTGTGCATCCCTCATGGGTTTGATGATGATCTCTCAGCTCGAATCATTGGTTGAATGTTGCCGACTCCCATCATCCCCCCTTGAGGAATAACTTCCTGCTGTAGCCATGGGACGAAAGCATAAGCTCCTGGCTGCATACATGAGTCCATTTGGTATTGGAAAGGCATTCCAAAACCAGCGAGGCTCATATTGAATATCGGATTAGCGTGTTGTTGTTTATATCCTCCTTCCTAATGCTGATGTTGAATCTGTTGTTGACTAAGTACACCTCCCTGTTGCTGAGGTTGGAACTGCGTCCCAATTCTATACGAAGTTTGCACTCCCGCTGCCAAGTGCGTGGAGTAAGCAGGCGCTGAATTTTGACTTTGACTTGCTCCTCCTGAATGAGAGAGATTCGCTCCACCTTGTCCTTGTTGACGAGCTGCCCTCTTGCATTCAACTTCCGAGTGAAAGAAAACTCTGCATCGATGACATCTTGGCGTTGACGACCAGGCAAGCCTGACCTCCAACGAATCACCCTCCCACATTTTTACCCATATTTTATCCTTCACGTTGATTCTTGCCTCGGGTCAATATCAAATTTGATATTGATTAATGAGGGTTTCTGCCTATCTGGTTCCAAGGGATGGGTAAAAATAACAGGACCGATTGCCTTCCTGACGTGAGAATCCAAGTGTAGCATCGCATCTAGTGGGACTTGTACTGCTACCAACCAAAAGGTTGATTCGTCATTTGTTCTCCTTTGCCCTCTGAGTTGGGCCTTGGTTAGCCATGGTTTAAAATCTAGGATGTAGCGAGTAGCCCCTAGAGTGATATCATCATATCCTTTCGTTATCAACCACAACGTCACCGCAATGCTCTTTGCTATGTAAGAGACTACGTTAGGACTCTCTGCTTTAACCCGCCCGCGTTTGAATCGGGTGGCCTCAAAACTGCCGTCCTGAACGCGTTCATCTTCGTAAGCTATGATAACATCATCTTTCACTTTCTTTGGTAGAAACCGAGCACCTTCTCTGAAGATGACTGTAATCGTGTGTTCGTTGAGGCACTCGATTTTCGTTTGGTCAATCCTGGGGTTGACTTTGAACAAAGTTTCTCGGCCTTCGATTCTCATCTCGCGCGGGTCGATGTTTGATGGTAGGATGCCCTCATCGTAGCATAGTCTAGCCAATTCGCGAATATGCTTGACTTCTTCATTTGAAGTTGCGGCCGGAACTGCCGGCGGTGAGTGGTTGCCCTCCATCTCGACTTCAGCCATGCAGACGCGGCTTACAGTCCGGACAAAGAGAATACCTAAATCGGACTACCTTCCCTTTAACATGAACCCAGTTGAATACGGTGGCCAAGCACTAATTAAAACATTCAGAACGCATAGTCTAATTGCTATCCACAGGGGACATAACCATGGGACACTGAGGTGTCTACAGGGAAGACGGCTGGCAGCTGACCAAGGACGTGGCTACGGTGACGACAACCTCACCTACGGAAACCCTATCTCGATGGTAGACGATTCCGCCTTCTCAGGGTCAGATCCCACTACCCTGGATTATTCATTTTTCACCCTGGATTACGAAGATCAACGGTCAGAAATGAACAATAGGGGCTAGTGGGATCGGGCCCTCCGACTGCCGTTGCCGGTACCGCACCGCTTGGTCCGAGCGCATCGTAGCGCCGGCGGAAGCGGTCCGGTAGTCCCCGAGCGCCATTTTCAGTTTCAGCTGTATTTCTGATTCCGATAGTATCACGCTTCGACTCTTTTTGGTGGGGTCTACATTTTGCCAGCGCCATTTCTCGATTTTTCCGCATCAAGCGCTTTGGCGGGGTCTTTTTTACCGTTTCGGGTTTAGCCCGCTTTTTCTCATCCACCGCCCCGCGCTCTTCCTTTGCTGGGAGCGTGGCTACCGTAGTAAGGGACTAAGTGGAGTTCTCCCACAGGAGCTTTCTCCTTCACTTCATTGAGCGGTCGTTCTCGTTTTGGTTCACCGTTGCGGGCGCGGGGTAGACATTGGAGATCGCGGAGAGGACGGGCAGCCAGCCACGTGGCGGAACTAGAGAGCAGGCGGCAAGCCAGAGCCAGTGGAGTCCTCTGGCGGCGCTGAAGGCGGCGCTGAACGAGCACTAGTCCGGCCGGCGGGAAGAGAAGGCGCCAACAGCCAAGGATTAGCTTGCAACCATGGTAAGAGAAGGGCGAAGCGAAGCTGATACACTAACGACAACTGTTCATCACATGTATCTGTACCGTATCGCGGACCCGATGCAATTGGATCGATCGAACATTTTTTTTTGAATGTATCGGGTCCATTACCTCCTAGGGATACGTTTAGAATGTCGTGTAAAAAAAGCGAGACCATTTGTCTTCCATTTCACGTTTCCCGTTATGGCAGCAGGGCATCGCCACACCACTCTCGAAATGTGCAAAATGAGAATGAACTTCCCGCTAGAACATGGCCAGATGCGCCCGCCACATTTTTGTCTTTTTCACATTTCGAGAGTGGTGTGGCGAGGCCCTCAATCTCATCCCATCGGGAATTTCAATCGCAACCTTTCTTGTCTTTCTTTTTATTAGTGTTTTTTTATTGTGTTTTTTTTTACATTTGGTTCCATCTCTACTGTGTTTTGGGCGGTCGAAAAGAGACTGACTCAGTTCTTAAGTGCTATAGCGCCTCTTGTTCTTTTCACCGGTGATCTTTTCGCAGCGAGGGTTGTATATTAATCTGAGTCCGTCAGGATTTGAACGCCATGGCTTAGGTAGTAAAAGTTAAGTCAGTTACCTTCTTCACCCGAATAGAACGCCCGGTCATTACTTCTGTATCTGGCACAACTTTCGGTCCAGGTGCAGTTTTAATTACGCGGCGTTCTATTTGGGTGAAGACGGTATGACTTCATTTCAGTTCAGTCCTCTATGTGTGTATGTATGTTGATATGTACGTCGAGTAGCACCATTTTGCTATGTATTTAGTAATTACCTGTATGTATTGTATGAATGTAGCCAATTTTTTGATATCAGTTAAATCAATTACCTGTATTTATTGTATAGATGTATAGTCCCCAGTTACCTGTATGCATTATGATATAACCTGTATGACAACAGTTAAGTCTTTATATGTCACCGTTTTGATATCCAATCTTGTTTATGTAAGTTTGTAATCGTTTTGATGAAGGCTAGGTCTTCAGTCCTGTACGTATGCACGTATGTGTGTGTTTGGGAAAGATGAATGTGTGTGTTTGGGAAAGATGAATGTGTGTGTTTGGGAAAGATGAATGTGTGTTTGCGAAAGATGAAGGGTGAAGGAGAGGGTAAAGTTCAAAAATGGCGGATGAGGTAAAGGACAGCTGGAGGGTGAAGATGAAGGGTGAAGGTAGGGTGAAGTCGGAGGAATGGGTAGGGTCAAACCTAGAAACCGACTACCTTCTTCCCCCGAATAAAATGTACGGTCATTATAGCTGTATCTGGACTGAAAGATGCCTCAAATACAGCTATAATGACCATACGTTGTATTCGGGGGAAGAAGGTAGGAGACCAGCTACGTATGTGTGTTTGGAAAAGATGAAGGGTGAAGGAGGAAGGTAAAGTTCGAGAGAGGTGGAGGGTGAAACCCAGAAACCGACCAGCAGAGCAACCACGATTACATGTTTGTGTGTATGTTTGTTTATATGTATATATGTGTCTCTACATACATGATTTTATCTATGTATGTGTGTATGTATATGGTATGGATTTAGTGTATGTAGTCGTATGTATGTATGCATTCGTATGTATCTATGAATGCAATCGTATGTATGTATGTATGTATGTATGTATGTGTGGTATGGATTTAGTGAATGGAATCGATTTGATGTTCAATCTTTGTGAAACGAACATTCAATCGGCTTGTTAGTGAATAAAATAAAAAAATTCGGTGGTATCGTGAATATTCGATCCATTTTTGTTTCTTTTGAGTTTTAGAATCTGTTTCTATCTAATTGCAGGGAAGGGATGTTCAGACGACGAATTTCTTGTCTGAATGTAACTGTAAGTTCGTCCGGATGCATTGACGAAATCACAAAGTGTGAGAATGCGGGCAGAAGACGTGAGCATTCCCCCCTCCTGCATCCTGCATTTCTTGAGATTAGGGTTTTTCTCCGTTACCAGAAAGAGTATGGCTTCCTTTCTACACACTCAACTGGTTTGACCCAGGGTTTGAACTCGTGATCTGTTTGATGAGAGTTTTGTTCTTCTCAACAAACTAGATAATCCGTCCGATGAAACTCGTTTGATCTGTTTAGTGACATTTTCGTTGGTGTACCGATCAGGGACGTTAGCTTGGCTGTTGCTTCATTTTCACTACCTTGTTTGTGTGTGTATTTTGTCAATAATTTGTGGGTGACTCGTTGATTTGCGGCGAGGAGGGGAAGGACATTTACGAGTAGATAGATGCATTTTGTGAGGAAGGTAGTGACCCCGTGTACGATCGGGAGATTGTTCGCCGCCATGAATCGGGAACTTGAATTGGCGTCTCGGATCACAGACACACACAGAGAGAGAGAGAGAGAGAGAGAGAGAGAGAGAGAGAGAGAGAGAGAGAGGTGGGGCATTGCAGTCCTGGGTGGTGATCCATTGCCAGCGTCTGCATGTTGCTCATTCAACGGGATTGTGCCTTCCCGTTGCGGGCTAGGCTCGTCGGGGGCGGGGCGGGAGTGGAACGGGGGCGGCGGCGGGGCTGTGAAAGATCTGTCGTTTTTAATGGTCATCGAAGATGGATGAAGAAAATGACTCGTTGTAAATCACCTCTACGTCCGAGGCTGTTGTTACTTAACCGAAATTTTGCTGCGCGCTAGAAGGGAACCGTTAAAAGAGGAAGGAGAAGGGAACCGTTAAAAGAGGAAGGAGAAGGGAAAAAGGGAACGGAATCGGCGCCAGGCTAACCACACAACGCGCCTGAGATAAAAAAAAAGTGAGTGCGTTTTGCATACAGCCGAAGAAGCTTTGGGAGACTCCGGGCTACCTTCTTCCCCCGAACAGAACGCACCCTCATTATGGTTGTACCGGACCGGAAAGATAGCTTGTATACACCCATTATCAGTGTGCATTATGTTCGGTGGAAGACGGTACCCCGATCCAAAATGCATTGTGCCGCCAGGAAAAAAAAAGAAAAAGAAAAAGAAAAAGAATCGCGCCAGCGCGCTGATTCGATTCCTTTCTTTTTTTGGCGCGCAGCAAGATTTCGGACATAGCTAATATTTTAATTAATAAAAAACCGCTCGGACGTAGTGGTGGTTTAAAGCGACGATTGCTTTATGACATGCTAGCCCCTATTGGAATCGTAAATATGGCCGTCGCTACACTGCACAACACTCTACATGCATTCGGACGCTTTCGGCGCCCGATTCATTCACTCTACATGCGTTCGGACGCTTTCGGCGCCTGATTCGTTCTAAATGTTGGACTCGGTCTCAAAGCACCTGGCCGAGAAAGCGTCCAAGTGCATGCAGACCATCGTGTAGTGGAGCGGGGCCCTATGTAACCATATCTTATAATCTAAAGGTATTACTGCACAGGCGACTAAACCTAACATAAATGTGATGACTGGAGCCATTATTATATTATTATAAAATAAAAAAAATGAATAAATTATATGGCACTACAGTCGCTCGCGATTAGGTTTGGAACTTCAATGTTGTTATTTGTTTTTCTTTGAAGTTATGAAAAGCTTTAGGAAAAAAAAAATTAGGAAAAAAATTAGGAAAAAAATTAGGAAAAAATTAGGAAAAAATTAGGAAAAAAAAAGTTATGGGAAGGTGGAGGACTTCGTATCATCCATTCAACGTGTAGTTGAATCTCGCTGAACTGTCCCAGCTACCTTCTTCCCCCGAATACAACGTACTGTCATTATCATCGCTGTATTTGGGGTATTTTTCAGTCAAAATTGTGGTCCGGAACGTCGTAGTCAAATAAAAAAAGTGGAGCTATTATGACCGTACTGCTAGAATGAGCGTGCGTTGTATTCGGGGGAAGAAGGATAGTATAGCATGATTAGTACGAGATGTAGCTAATCATCTTCACAGATGTACATCATGAAATGCGTCCCATTTTTGCGCATATCATGTGTTCATCAGACATTCACAGAAGCTGCGCTCGAAAAAAGTAGAGTGTGAAAAGCAGCCAGCTCCTGATAAGAAGCAGGGCGGGAAAAAAGAGAAAAAAGAAAAAGTATTTGGAAAAAAAGAGAATCGGTAAGGAACGTGAATTAAAGAGAAGGGCAGGTAGCTACACACAAATCAAAGAAAAGAAAGGCCTTGAGAAAAAAAGAATCGAAAGCCCTTACGAAAAAAGGGAAAAAAAAGGCCTTGTAAAAAGAAAGGCCTTGAAAAATAAAAGAAAAAAAGAAAGGCCTTGAAAAAAAAAAGAAAAAAAAAGGCCTTGAAAAAATAAAAGAAAAAAGAAAGGTCTTGAAAAAATAAAAGAAAAAATTAAGGCCTTGAAAAAAAAAGAAAAAGAAAGGCTGCAGATTCAACTCCTGTGGGCATTTAACTTCGACGTTCCTGGTCGCAATTTCGGCCTTTTGCTGAACCGAAATCGTCAGGTCTGGTAGGGTCTCGCCGCACGGCACACGAAACGAAAACGAAACGAGTGCATCTGCCCACGAAAGTTGGCAAAATACACTTGTTGTTATTTATCGCAAACCGATGAACCTGGCCATTTTCTGCAGGAAGATGCACTCGTTTCGTTTTCCGTTTCGTGTCCCGTGCGGCGACGCCCGTAGTGGCGGCAACCTGACGATTTCTGTTCCCAAAAATCGTCGAAATTATGGCCCAGAAAGTAGGAAGTTAAATGCCCAAAAGGACGTCCAAGTTCAATGCCCCAAAAAGAAGGGGTGTTGTCAGCAAAGGACGTACAAATGGGAAATAAACAAATGGGAAATAAACTAATGGGAAATAAACAATTGGGAAATAAACAAATGGGAAATAAACAATTGGGAAATAAACGAATGGGAAATAAACAAATGGAAATAGACAAATGGAAAGAAACAAATGGGAAATAAAAAATGGGAAATAAAAAATGGATAGAAAATATATTATTATAGGAATTAGATACAAAAAAAGGCCGAGCTTGAGTGGTGGATTGTAAAAAAAAAAAAAAAAAAAAGAGTCGCGACGATTGTGAGAGTTGAACAGGGTGAAGAAAGGAGCGCAGACATCCGGAAGACGAACGAGTCTACCGTTGTCTTCCGCTTAACTCGATGCGTCGTCGTTACGAATGAATCCGACTGGAAAAATAGCTTGTATACATTCTTTCTTTATCGGGGTGGAAAACGAACTGTTATCTTAGTTGAGCACGAAAGAAGGTAGTGGTCAAGATTGAGTGTAGGTAAGAGAAAAAATAATGAGAACAGGATAATGGGAAAAAAAAAAAACTTTGGAACAGGATAATGAAAAAAAAATAAAAAATTGCGACGTTGCGAATTTAATTGAAAAAGATTGGGTGAAGGTAAAAAGGCCCTCTCTCCGTACAACTCATAGTAAATGTGCAACAAGGAGAATGTATCTTCTGCGAGAATGTGCAAGTATGCACTTGCCATGGTGAAGACTGAGTGTAATTGACGAAGATCGTGCGGACAAGGAAAAAAAACAAAAACGTGTCCATTTGAGAACTCGACAGAACAAAGGAATCGGGCGACGGCAAAGGGTCTCGCGGCGCTACGCTAATCAACAAATGTGCAACACGTAGAATGTATCTTGCCCCAGAACGTGGAAGTATGCACTTGCCATAGCTTTTGTCGTTTTCTCGTTTGGCGACTGGTCCGTTGAGGCCTAAAGAATGTATCTTGCGCGAGAGCGTGGAATTATACACTCGCTGGAGCAGTATCTGCTGCCTGGTTTGGGGTACACGTGGGGTAACTGTGGGAGTGTCGTGGCAAGCACTGGTCCGCCGGGTGCGCCGAATATTAGGTGGTGTATACTATCACGTTCTCGCGCAACGTACATTCTTTTTGGTGGGTCAGATTCCACGGTCTGCACTGATGACACTAGGCCTAATAATATTATTAGGGTTTTAGCGATTTGAATCCTGGGGAGTAATGGGGTCCGGCTAATGCAAAGACCGTTCATTTTGCCAGTAGCTCCGCCTCCCATCTACTTCCCCCACCCCCCTATCGAGTAGCAGCAATGGCTATGGATATACTCTCTCCCACACACCACACACAACACACTTATGCTCTCACTCACACCCGTGTTGGTCATATACCTGATGGGATCAGATTTACCACACACAACACACTTATGCTCTCACTCACACCCGTGTTGGTCATATACCTGATGGGATCAGATTTCAAACTAACACGGACGGAACAGGGGTATCAAGCAGACTAGGACAGTTGGTTGGCACTACGTGCGCCGCAGGCGTTCATGGGGATCGAACCCGCGACCTCCTGAATGCCATTTGCGTGCCTAACCAACTGAGCTAGCCCGCTGGATTTCTTCGTTATCCTGTTATGGATTAATTACTAGTAAATCCATTTTTCCTATTTTTGTTGCGATAAATAATGCTTGTATTTGAAGGAAAAAGAGAGTGAAAAAAAGAAAATAAGAAAAGAGAGAGAGAGAGTGTTGGGGTTCGTCAGTAATTTGGACTCAAATTGTAATGTAATCCCTCCGAAATTTGTTTCTACCGTCTTTACCCGACAAAAACGGCGGGTCATTAGGGATGTATGGGGCTGAACTTCCAGTCTAGATACATCGATAATGACCGGGCGTACCAACGGGTTGCAGTTGGTACCCTAGTTCCAATCCAGATGGAACAAGATGAACGAAATTCCTGAACTCCCTGATGTAGGGCCGGTCAGGTTCACGCTGATATCTCAAGGCTGTCGCGCGTAAGCAAAAAAGAGGGGAAGGTGGGGAGAAAAAAGGAGGGAAAGGGAAAAAAAAGGGAGGGAAAGGAGAAAAAAAAGGCCACTCGTCGTTTTATTCGGGGGCAAGGTCCCACTTGCACGGATTAAGAGATTCTGCCCGTTGATCCTTGTTATCTACGGTCAATACCACTTAATTCGTGTAAGTGGGACCTAGCCCCGGGTAAAGACAATAGCCTAGAATCTGTGTCCGTGTGAAACGCTCAGACGAGACATAATTGGCTTTTGAAAAAGTTCGTCTGTGCGTGTGAAAAGACCAGACCTACATTTTTTATGGGAAAAGTCATAAAATAAAACCTCCCCGGAAAAAGTTCGTCTGTATCCATTTCCCCGGACAAGGGAAAAGTAGTGCAGCAGGTCCCAAAATCACTTTTGGTGTTATTTTTGCACCCTGGCCGGGCGTGTAACTGCCGCTGTGTAAAAATGGCGGGAAAGTGTTTTGCAGTGTGCAAGGCGGGAAAGTGTGAAAATGGCGGGAAAGTGTTTTGCAGGAGAGTGCAAAAATGACGCCGAAAGTGATTTTGGGGCAGCGGCACCTTCCCCCCCGTTTGGGGGGAATATAAAGGTTTCGTCGCGGGGAGGTTTTACGACTTTTGCCCTTTTTTTTTGGTGGAAAGTGTGTCCGCCTCCTCACGACGCCGCCCTACTTGTTCAGGCTCGGCGGTAGCGGAACCCTAACTTTCTCTTTGCCCTCTGTGGTTTTGCTATGACGGTATATATGATATGTGGACATTTGTCTTCGCGCTCTTATTTTATTTATTTTGTTTCTTTTTAATCATTTGTTTTTATTTCTTTCTTTTTTTGGGGGGTTGATCTTGTACATTTATATCTGTAGAGATATCAGAATCCGCAAGACGCATCAAATAAGAACAGTGTCGCTGGTTGTCGACCAAAAAAAAAAAAATCCTCTACCAAACAATATCTGTGTTTTTGCTATGACGATTTCCTTGAAATTAATTACAAGCTGCTGCGCAAATTATTACAGGACCAATAATTATAATACAAAAATAAAATAAAATGAGACCAGTAAACTTCGTAGGAAACCATTTGAGCAGCATATCGTAGTGCCCCAAGAAAAAGCGTATTTGGAATTACTAGACCCTCTTTGCTCCTCCTTTTCCTCCTCTTTCTCTCTCTCTCTCTCTCTCTCTTTTGGTCTAAATTGATGCCCTTTTTGCGCTTTTCTCCTTCTCTCTCTGTCTCTGTGTCTCTACGTCTTCCCCTGTTTTCTAACCATCCCTTTTTTTCCCGCGGTGGGCCTTGGTTCAGCCTCCTTCCCTCTCTCCCTCTTAAGGAAAAAAGGGGGAAAAAACGATTCTTTCTCTCGCTGTTGTCATTCTCGGATTCTCCAGACCCTCTTTGCTCCTTTTACTCTTTCTCTCTCGCTCTTTCTCTCTTTTGGTCTAAATCGATGGCCTTTTTGCGCTTTTTCTCCCTCTCTCTCTGTTTCTTTGGCTCTCTGTCTTGCCCTGTTTTCTAGCCACCCGTTTTTTTTCCCGCGCTGGGCCTTGTTTCGGCCTCCTTCCCTCTCTCCCTCCTCAGGAAAAAGGGGGGAAAAAAACGATTCTTTCCCTTGCTGTTTTCATTCTCAGATTCTCATTCTGGTCTGTCCTGGTTTTGTCCTCTTTTTGGTTGATGCCTACGTTTTTCTCTCCCTCTCTCTACCACTCCTTGCGTACCTTTTTCTCTTCCCTGGGGCGAGGTCCCTCTAGCAAAGAGGACTGGGCTACCGGTAGGCTCTCCTGGATCTGGACACATGCTGGGATGGAGAAGTGCAGTTTCAATCTCGATTATCTGCACCTCTCCGCAAAAACGTCCACATTCAGGCATTCACTCCGTGATCCTCTTTGCTTGCGCCTTGTGTACCTTCTTGTCCTCGTTGCTTTTGTTGTCACTATGAAATTTAGGGCATATATCTATACTCACACTAGGACTTTTTGTTGAACTGAGCTCTGGACTTGATTGTGGTCAGATGCATCCACGTCTGGCCTGTAAATGCAGTCAGATACACTAGCTTACCTCTTGCGGCTCCGCCCGCAAAGAAAACAGAATTTGCGAACGAAAGCCGAGAGCATGAGGTGTATAACATATGAATCAAGTATTCAATATCCATCTGCTTTGCATTTGCTGTTCAATACGAAACATTCGAGCAGCCGTTCTACTCGTCCAGTGGAGGGAGTTCTCTCCCTCCCTCTCTCTCTCTCTCTCTCTCTCTCTCTCCGTACATACTCTCAATGGACATGGCATCTACCTGACGAGCCCCCTCCCCCCATTTTTACAAATGCGTTAGTCCCCCAGGCTCTGCGTGTGTGTGTTTGCTCGTAGAGAAAAAATCAACAATCCAAAAAAAGGGAAACAACGCATTTTTTTTTCTGGGCACACACAAACAACCCACAGTGTCGACCATCCCTCCCCCTTGCGCCGACCTTCCCTCCCCTTCCCCCCCCCTCTTCTGCGCCCACCTTCCCCCTATTCTGTGCCTACCTTCCCCCCCCCTCCTTCTGCACCCACTTTACCCTCTCTGCCCCCACCTTCCCTACCCTCCGCACCCACGTACCGTCCCCTTGCACACCCCATTCCCCCCTTCTGCGCCCACTGTCCTACGCTGTGCATATCCACTTTCTCCACCGAGCCGGTCCTCCTGGCCTACTGCACCGAGCGCTGAATTCTTAAGTGGAAGTGTACTGATTGGCTGCAGTGTGAGCAGAAGCAGCGTACCTCCCCCCCCCCCCAGAGACTTCTCCCTGCCCATCCCTGGACTGGATGCTGGGCTGGAACGCGGACGGGCAAGAAGGAATGGTGGGAAAGCTCTCTCGACGGCGCTGTTGAAATTCCGGGCTCATGGGGGAATATGACATGATTGATTGTACCACAGTTTTTTGTTGGTTTTCCTTGTTTCTCACTGGCTGTTTGCTTTCCTTGGGTTTGTCGAATGTTGGTCGAAGGTATCTGTAAGGCGGTGACTGATCTCATCGGGTGTGTAATGGACTCCTCTTCTGACTGATTTGATGTCTTGATTGATTTGATCGATTGATTGATTAACTGGTTTGCGTGAGTGATTGTTTTGATTGATTGTTGTGATTGGTTGTTTTGATTCATTTCATTGATTTGAGTGGATTTTATTGTGTTGTATGATCTCAGGGCTCTGAGGCTGTGAATCCCAAGGCATACCCCCTTGCTGATGCAAGTTTGACGACGACGATTTTGGATATTGTCCAGCAAGCAGCGAATTACAAGCAGCTGAAGAAGGGTGCAAATGAAGGTACAGACGGGGTCTAGCAACTCATCTGTTGTCCCCTTTTCCCGTTTTCCTGCTTCCCTCCGCTTTCTCACCCCTCGCTCACTTTTTGCAATGGTGCCTCTCCTTCTTCCCTTCTCTTTCTCACCCTCTTTTTCACCGTCCTCTTCTGCTCCCTCCTTGTCTTCCTCTGCCTCTTCTCTCCCCTTTCCTCACCACCAAACCTCGACTGCCTCTCCGTCCACCTCCTCCTCCTCTCTCCTTCCCTAACGTTTTCTCTCCGTTCTAACCTGTCTCTACCGTGTCGTCAACCCCTCCCCCTCCTCCCCTCCTCCCCTCCTCCCCTCCTCTCCTCTCCTTCTCCTCCTCTCCTCCTCCCCTCCTCTCCTC